GCGGCTGACCACGCCAAACTTGATTAGGCCGTAGGCAATTGATTGACCACTTTTTGGAGTAAAACATTAGATGTCCTTCAAAAGGCGCTTAGTAGGTTAAAGTCAGATCATGGCTGACAGCGAGGGCATTTTTCAAGCTGATGATCAAGCAGTGTTACACGAAGTCGTATAACATTGTGATTCTTCGTTAGACAAGTAAACAGTTTAAGTTGACATTATGACTAATTCCATTGACCTTGGGTCAGGCATGAAGATGAGATCAATCTCGTTCCAGAATGCCTTTTAAGCGGGAAGTCCGCCTTATGAGGTAGTTTTGCTGCTCACTTCGAGTTCCTTGATCACAAGAACATAACAAATTACTGGTCTTGAGTTCATCAATGCCAGGGGAGGTTAATGACCTACAATAACCTCAATCAGCCATTTCCCTTCAGAGACAACTAGCTGGGGTAGTTCTTGACGTAAATTATAACTTATATTGTCGTGATAATATCGAAAGTTCTAGGTCAATCTGACTTTTTAGAGGTTTCATCTTCTAGAAACTCGAGGACTTCCGTAAGGGCAGCATCTCTTTCATGAACTCGTATCGGTCACCATACGACTCATTCCAAAGGTCGAAACCTCACAGAAATGGTACATCATGGACGGAGAAATAGCTCGAAGACAGATGTAGAATGAGTCCAGAGACAGCGCCGCGTCTAGGGTGTAGACATGGATAAGGTCAAAGCCCTGCTGTTTCATATTTGTATCTAATAATATTCATACGCAAGTTGTTCTGTGCATTAGCGAGGAGCATTATTCACATAGCTAAGAACAGTAGTGGTAGCCTTATTCCTCGGGGAAAACCAGGAGAATGGAGATGTAGTTGGGTTGATATTCCGGCAGCATGCCTTTATCGAAACAAAAAGAGAAGTGAAATGATTCTATCTGATATTTATATTTATAAGTGAATATAGTCTATTCACTTCTGCTATTGTTTCGCTAAAGACATGCTAGCGAAATATCAGCCCAATTGCGTCTCCATTCTCCTGGTTTCCCCCCGAGGAGTGAGGCTAATACTACTGTCTCATCTATGTAACAATATCTACATTTAATTCTGCCAATATCACCTGGTGAAGGCATTGGGATTCCCTCCACGGACACCTCCTATCAACCATGTTATACTGTATAAACGCCTGCTAATGACCGTTCTCAAACTAGGTGCGGTAATTTCATCGATAAAATGCCAGTCCTCTAGCCATCTATAATACAGCTCATCTAAAGGGCCACCAAATACTATTGTGCTCTGTGTATAGCTATCATAGGGGCGGGGCAGAGTCGTGTGCATAGTATTGAACCGTAGTCTCACACCGACTAGTGGGTTTGAGAACTCCCGGCCGAGCCGCGGCAGACCCAGGCACTGGCGACGGAGCAGGTACGGACACTGAAGTGGCAGGTCCCACACCGTCTGGGAAGCGCACCCACAGCGACAGCGGATTCCCGCAAAAGCAGACGCCGGCGGGCGAGGACGGCGCTTTTTTAAACAGATTGAATTGGAGCCGTTATTTTGAATTTCTAACGTTGTTCTTCCCATGCGTCGGCCTTAACCTGATGTTAAGACTTGAAACTAATGGGGGAGCGCACCCCAAAAAGTGCATGAGGTGACAGCTCTTGGGAGGCGGGACGGGTGTAGGACAAACAAGCACCGGCAAAGGCGCGGAGATCACGATGGTTGGACCGGAAGCAAGGGTACAGAGATCAGGTGGTTGGACCGGAAACAAGGGTTCAGAGATCATATGGTCTGGCTGAAAACCCGGCCATGCGCTTGCGGGGTCGATCCGGACATTGCTATTGGGATGGTGTGAACCGGAACATCTGCAGCGCAGCGTACCCGGACACGGGCCCGCACGTCGTCGGTGACGCGCTGGTTCTGCACGGCCCGGTATCAGCAGCGGCGTGCGGGCCATTTCCAGCAGCGCTGGCATTGGCGAGCAGCGCGTGACTTAATGCGCCTCTCGCGTTGGCTTACGTCAGGTGCATTGCGGCGCATTAAGTTTGTGCCGTTCGCATTTGTTTTTTCCGACATTGTTTTATGCGGGCAAGGGAATCGCCGTTGAGATTTGCTTAATCACATTTTTGGCGGGTGGGGGGGGGGGGGGGGGGGGGGGGGCTTACGACACAGTCAGTAGCTGGGGCTGTATGGCGCCGCCTGCCTGTCACCCTGGCGGAGGTGGCGGGTCGCCTACCTGTCACGCTGGCGGAGGTGGCGGGTCGCCTGCCTGTCACCCTGGCGGACGTGGCGGGTCGCCTGCCTGTCACTCTGGTGGAGATGGCAGGCACCGCGAAAATCTAAGCCCGGTTCTTCCGGTCTCCAAGTCGCGGAGAATACTCACTACACTTCCGTCACCCATCATACTGTATCCCTTCCAGAGTAACGTCAGAAGCCAGACATTCCGCTAAAGCACCTTGGCAATCGGCGTCTGCATATAGCATGACTCGCAATGCACATACGTGACATTAAAAACGATGATAAACGTTGTTTGGAACTTACGTGCATTTCGCTTCAGATTCTGTAAGGATACATCTAGGTCTGACATTTCTCATGCGCAAAGTACCGTGGCGTTAGTTTGAGTTTTCACACTGGGTGTGACATTTGTTATTAATGCGTGCGCGAGTAATGAAACGATCGCATTCACCCTCATGCACGCACACGACTCGGAGTCGCCTCCCGGCTTCATTCTCACATCCATTCACTGCCGCTAAAACAGGGTGAGCACCGTATGTCATCACATGTAATTTCATCAGATGGCTTTTGGTCTAAAGCCCAGCAGCACGAGCACCTTTCCCGGAAGCTGCCTTGCCGTTGGGCTGCCAGCAACCCCCGATGGTGATCGAGCACCGCCAGGGTCGAGGATCGGCCTCAAGGTCGAGGGTTAAGTCTTGACACGTGGGTCAGCGCCTCTGGGCAGGAAACTTAGCTGGGAAGGCTGCGCCATTCACACTGGACGCGCTGGGGAGATGACGGCTCTCAAAACTCGCTCGGACAGGATTGGTGCCCAGACGAGAAGTGGAAAGTTTTCCAGGAAACTGGCCGATGGTCGATATCAGGCAGTATGGGACGCCACCTCGCCAGCCCCCGAACGACGCCGTGGGCATGATTGCAGTGTGAGATCTTCTGCAGTACTGTTCTGCTCATTGCAGGACAGCGTACACGGCCGGGTTGAAACAACAGGGCAAATGCTGCAGGTCGCATCAAGCCAAGAAAGCTCCTTTCGGGCTTCCTGCGACCGCCTCCCTTTTAAGAATAGCTAGCTGGCACTGAAATCTTCAGTCTGAGACCTCGCACGTCACAACCTGTCCAACGCACGCCGAGGCCTCAGGGTCTCAATCTCCCCCTCCCCCTCCCCCTCCCCATGGAATCTAAGCAAACTTCATCGCGTGAAAAAGGGTGAGCGACTCACTTCTTCATTCTCACTTGGTATCCTCATACGACCCCGCCAAGCGCTTCTTTGGCGACGCGGGCGGCCATCGAAACATAGCGGTGTGCAAAACAGCGTGACCTGTGTTGAAACACGCCTACGGTTTAACGGACCGTTGTCATACTGTTGTTAGCGTCACCAACCAGATCCATCGTCACCGCATCTGTGCCTGGCCACCGCTTGCTGTGCCGTGGGATTTTCGGTTGAGCTGTTCATGCTTCCGGGGCACCGTACAGCAACTCCTGTTTGAGGGTCCCAGGCCGTGTGCCACGAAGAAAAACCACCAGATATCATTCCCAGGGCGAGAAAAAGGACGGAATCGCCTATTTCGGGGAGCCAAAGCCGATTTTATCCGGGGGACAGCCGGAGGGTTCTCGTATGCAACAGCAATACTGGCACGCTGCAGATGCTGGGACGCAGCACGTGCAGCGTGCCAGACTAGTGAACCGGGGCTCAGCCCTGTCTAAACAATCACCATCGCCGGCGTCGGCCAGGTATGAAGGGCTGCAAACTGCCTCAAGCTACTGGCGCGTTCATGGCTGTCTTCGCGCTGCTGCGCTGCAAAGGCCGGGCGGTCCGCCGTCTTCGTCTGAGAGTTGTGCCATGCACGGCGACAGAAGGCTCGCCGATGGAGCGGTTTTGAATGTATTTATGGAATGAGGTCATGTTGTCACCAGCGCAGGGCGCTCATCAGCTGATTGTCACAGCCAGTGTGCGTAATACATGACTGCCCTCTGGGATGACGTCATGCTCAGCTGACGTTCATTTCCGCCGCAGAGTCGTCCTACACCCTTTTCCTGAGTGTGGTGCTGTTTTATTGTTCAGTAGTTTTGTTTAATATTGTGTTGCTCAGCACTCTTGAGACGCTTTTTGTGTGCTGTCGAGACGCGTTTTTGTTGTTGTTGTGTGTCTGGACACCAGATTGTTTGCGAAGTGGGTTCAACAGCTGCGAAGCTCCGCAGCAGGCTGAAGCCATTATTAATGAGCATTATGTCGAACTCACAGAGTTTGAACATGTGCTTGCCAGCCCCATACGCACACAGTGATATCGCATATCTTCATACCAACGATATGTTTAGCCCCAGATATAGATGTGTCCAGTCAGTTTTTTCAATATCACAGTTATCTGACTGAGAATCGATTTAGGTGTCGTGCTCGGTCTTTTTTCACAGCTTCGAATCATATTTTCCGTCTCAATTGATAAGGACAATATGCCGTTTAGTGAAAGGCATGGAGTGAGGCTAGCTCCCGCTCCTCTCACGCCGCCCAACGTTTCAAAAGTCGTTTAGGAAATCTGTGGAGCTGTGAATGACTATTATGAAGGTAATTAGAACGGTATATTCGGACGCCTTTGCGCATGAGGCACAGTTGTATTACATCACATGCCATGATTGGAGAAACGGCATTTATCCTACAAGATAATCTGAGATTACGGGAAGAGCGCTATTACCCAGAAAGCGACAAAGCTTTGAGATGCCTTCCCCTCTCTGCTCTGAGTGTTCCAGCAGCGTCGCCCCTTCGCTGACTCGCGGGTGTTCGTTGCAGAGGGTCGGCTGGGCGGCAGGGTCGGTGGGTCGGACCCACGGCCGATCCGCCGGCGGCCCTACTTTGACCCAGCGACCCCGGCCAACGTGACGGCCGTGGCCGGCAAGGCGGCCTATCTCACCTGTCGCGTCTGGGACATCGGCAATAAGACGGTCAGTGGTGCGCCGTCAGCGCCGCAGCCGCGCCAGGAATGACGCCCTGGGGTACGGGGTCACGTGACGGCGGACGGAGCCGGCATCCGCTGCAGGCGCCGGAGTGCCCGCATTCCTGAGCTGCCGCTGTACGCGGTCCGAAGGGGAGGGGAGGGGGGTTGCTCGTCGAACACTAAGCTCTGTGAGCTGCGTGCAAAATATTTAGTGCTTTGAGCGTGGAAATACAGATGCTCTATGCACTTATATCGCATTTACCCTTAATCTTCGTATGCTAAAGTTATATACGCTGTCCTGTATTGCTTCTGAAATTGCTGTGCATTAATACGTAGGTGTGGTGCTCGGTATTGGTGAACTTCGGACTGCTGGATGAGTGGGAAGTTTTTACACAAAACATCGCTGAGAAGATGTCGGGGATCGCGACTAAAATTCGCTACATCAGTGCTCCTTGAGCAATTTGAAATCACTGACTGCTGCAACGTAATCACTGGCTGTTACTGACGTAATTAATTACTGACTGAAGTGCGACGTACTCACGTAAGCAGCCGTGCTTCGCCACTATACCAAGCGCTGGGTCATAAAGATTGAGTTAAAAAAACGTCGCCCACATCCAGTTTTTTGTGTGATTTCACTCACGAGACAGGATCGTGCAGCAATATGTGCTGCAAATGATGTGCAAGAAACCACTCACCGTAAAAGCTCTGTGAGTTGTGAGAGGCCTAGGCAGTGCCAGTAAACTTACGGTTAACCATTGAAGAGCATATGCATGACACAACCGTAGTGGCCGTTAGGGCCTAAATTAGTTCAAGCTGCGAGGCCTGAGCCGCATTATTTCATCTGCGCAGTGCCAGGACGCGGACAGAGCTTGCCTCAGCCAGCCGGAGACATTTTCCGCGAATGGAGCGTTTTGACAGATTGCAAATTTGACGGAGGTTGGCGAAATTTCACTTGAACGATGCTTCAAGACTGATGGACGTCGTTCCTCTTGTCACTTATGGGCACGTTTCGGCGAAACACTCGGGCCGAAATTGCAGCTCTGTGATGGGGCATATTGTTTCGGCATTTAATCGCCATGTTATCGATTGTTGGAGCGCAAAATATTGGGGGCCGTGCCTAGCGGCTGTTTAAGACGTTCACATCAGGCATTTTTAGTGCTCCCAGTCTGACAAAGCATCGAGTTTTGGCATTTCATCCAGGCTACTATTTAGAGTGACCGTCATCCTTATTTGGGACTTCACGAACCCAAGGCTTAGCCAGGCTGTGATGCCGTGTAAAATACCTTAGACCACACCGGTTGTATTTCCAGTACTTTTGGGCGTTAAGTATACCCGTCGTTAACCTTAGCCGTCAAATTATTACATGAATTAAGGCCTGTGGTCGCTGTCGATATATATCGCTCCCCGTGATTGTATGTGGTGCCCGGCGACTGTCAAGGCACTGGCACGAAGAGCAAAATAAAAGAGCCTGTATTCTTCAGTGTTCGAACGGACCATCAAGGACCTGGGCGAACCCTGTGATGTCGTGGCCTCTGCGCTGGACAGACTCCGTGATCTCGCGACCCCTGTTTTGGACGAACTCTGTGATCTCGCGACCTCTGTTCTGGAGGAACCCTGTGATCTCGCGACCTCTGTTCTGAACGAACTCTGTGGTCTTGCTGCCTCTGTTCTGGACGATCTTTGTGACCTCTCGGCCTCCGTTCTGGACGAACTCTGTGATCTCGCGACCTCTGTTTTAGACGAACTCTGTGATCTCGCGGCCTCTGCGCTGGACGAACTCTGTGAACTTGTGACCTCTGTTTTGGACGAACTCTGTGGTCTCGCGGCCTCTGCTCTGGACGAACTCTGTGATCTCGCGGCCTCTGCTCGGCCTCACATCCATCTCCGAGCGACATGCCCTTTAGCATCCTTGATGCGCAGCTTCCTTCCATGAGGAAAGGCCTTTCCAGCGAACACAAGTGACGACTCCGTGAAGTAGCGAAGCAGACATACTGCATGTGCAGCTGCTCGGGTAGCTGATTTCCCTTACGTTTGGTTGGCAGGTGTCCTGGATCCGACATAGAGACCTGGCAATACTCAGCTCGGGTCAGAAAACGTACGCCCACGACAACCGTATCGTCCTGTACCACCAGGTTTGGAAACATTGTAGCGCTGGTGTGAGAGCCTCCCTCCCGCCGTCTCTCTGTGTCATTGGGTGTTCTGTGAAGGATGCACGCCGCATTTATGCGCTTAAGGTTTTAGTTATATTTTTGTGGCGGCTAACATAGGTATATGCCACTTTGATGCTGGTCTTGTTAAAGGTAGTGTTCCACATTTATGTGGGGTTTTGGACTGAAATGGCTATTTGAATGATTATTTGGTGCTTTTCACAGGCCCGTCCTTCCTAGGACCTAAACCGCTCCCGTTTCTGAGGTGCACGCTCGCGAAGATGTGCAGACTATTTTGTGTAGTCTATTTCAAGTTCACCTAGGCATCCATGGCGCCAAAATAACGGCATACAAACTCTTTCACTCGACTGGCCATGCGGCGATCAAGGCAAATAAGACCGTTGTCGAGTCGTTTATATCTGGCATAGGTGAGCACGATTTCCAGACATCACGGCCGTCAAGGGGTCTGAATCAAGTTTGTGCAAGCTACAATGAAACAATCAAACAATGACGCATTGAGAAGCATATTTACTAAATGGAGGAATTGTGTTGTCTAAAACAGTCTTTTTAACTTAAAAGTATAGCAACAGTCATAAGTGAGCTTATTTCGTCACACCTGATACTTGCCTCAATATATTCAATGTGTAAGTGTAAGCATTTCATTTAAACTTAACTCTCCGCGAATATTTGAGGAACCGAGCTTTCCAAAGCAAAGCAAAAAGAGTTGTGCCTATTTGCGTGCAAAGGCCTACTTTACGATGACATCAGACCATGGTTATCTCTCCATGTTATGACGTTCCCCTGTCTAGAACTAGCCCCACTGTCCTGCCTCTCTCCCGACCTGCTTCGGGAACAGTTCTGGTTCTCCGTGTGAAACACGCATCCTCTGGTTCATTCTCGAAAACAATACGCAATCACATCGTAGTCAGAATATCCCAAATAAAATGACCTAATCGTACTAACGTGGAGTTGGCCAATCCAGACACGTTTTTGGAACTCAACTAGCTGATATATCAGGGAAATCTCTGTTTGATCGAACTTTTCCAGCGAATTTCATTTCATTCCATCCCATTATTTATTCGGTACCGGGCTGCCCGTGAACAGCCCGAAGCATGGATCATCGACAGAATCTTAAATGATTGCCATCACTACCAAAACAACCTGTCCTACATCTGCTGTCTCAGTTCGTCCGGCGAAATATTCTGCAACGCTTGAGACACGAGTCGGTCTCCCGATTCAAACCCCAGCGCGTTGCCAGCGGCGCTGAAGAGTGGTCACCATACCTGCCGTGGTATTCTTAGCCAAATTTTATTGTGATCGCCGCTTATGTTGCCACCCTTGTCTGAAGCCGGGGTCGTCGAACTTTTTTCACTTGACAGGAATGAAACCCGACGCTCACGATCCTGAGCCCGTCACCCTGACCATTCGGCCATGCGCCCGCAGCCGGACAGCAACGAGTGGGTGCTGAAGATCAAGTACGTGCAGCCGAGGGACGCCGGAGTGTACGGGTGCCAGCTGCCGACCGCGCCGCTCATCAGCCGGCCCATCCGGCTGAATGTCGTGGGTCAGTTGGCCGACCGGTCACCGGTGGTGAGGGGGAGGGGGGCTGGCCGACTAGTCACGGGTGGTGAGAGGGCCTGGGCGACCGGTCACAGGTGGTGAGGAGGACCTGGTCAACCAGTCACGAGGGGTGAGAGGGGAACTAGCCGACCGGTCACGGGTGGTGAGAGTACCTGGCCGACCAGTCACCGGTGGTGAGAGGGGAACTAGCCGACCGGTCACGGGTGGTCAGGGGAACTTGGCCACCAGTCACGGGTGGTCAGGGGGACCTGGCCACCAGTCACGGGTAGTCAGGAGACCTTCTCGACCGATCACGCGTGACCGGGGTAGACCAGAGGCTGGTGGTCAGAGGTGAGGTGCAAAGTGGCCACCGGGCGGTGGGGAGGTCAGGTGCGTCAGTGATACGCAAAGGGCAGGGCTGCCGATGAGTGGTAGGGCTGGACGAAATCGCTGGTGTGGTCGGCGACCGACCAGTGGAGGACTGTCACCTTGCGTGGATATTACTGGTCAACAATTGTCGCGGAAAGGAAAGTCACGTCTGGTGTGGTCGGAGGGGACTCGGCATTGTGTAGTGGAGTGTGATAGGGTGAGGTCACTTCAAGACCAGGAACATCCGTGGTGGGCCAGTAGTGTCCAGGTATGGGCGGCCTTGGTTTCAAACCCGTGCAGTTAGCGATGGGAATATGCGGAAAGAGCGGAGCCTGTTTTATTTAGCGAGTGACCCACACCGAAGTTGCACTTTGTTTAGATTTGAAATACCCACACCCGTTCTTCATTCTAGATTGAGGGCCCCCAACCATCCCGTAAGGCAATGACCCCAAATTTCTCCCATGGACCAGCGAAACTCATTTTGCCTCCAGGTAAGCGTAAGCGGGATTTTATTATTAGTGCAAAAGTGAAAAACCTGTAAACATACTCATCTGTCATTTTTTTGTCATGGCCTACATCAAAAGATCTTATTTTAATTGTCGGCATACATACTTATCCTCAAGACCACCACAAGCATCCAGAAACCTACAAAAATAAATTTCGATTCTAACCAGCCAAGTTGCCAATTTCACAACGAAACACTGGCATATACACTAAAAAATGGATAGTATCACCTATTACCACGCACCATAGAAGGAATATGAAAAGCAACATTGTCCATGGCCAGTAGGCACCACAATAACAGCCCTGCCAATTCCATAAAATAGGAAAATTACAGAAAGGCCCTGTCCCGGTCGCTCATCTTACCTCTTGAAAGCTCCTAGAAAATAATCTGCTCTTTCCGGTGGCTCCTCCAAGTTCACCCAACCCTCTCAAAGTTCGCCACAACCTCCTTCATCCTCATCAGAAATTAAAGGTGGTTCCTCGGAGAAAGGCCACCTGTGCATCAGAGCCCCTTCAAGAGCTGACGACATGGACCAGTCTCAGGCGATCTCCGTGCACCGACTTCGTCCTTTGATTGGTTTATTTTGAAACCACTGAGCCTGTCCATTCCGTTGACTTACTTGGCTAGAGCACCCGCCTTCCGGTCCACCCACCCGAGGCGGTATGGGCTCGAGTCGCCTCAGGCGCACAGATGTGGCCCGCGGCCAGTGGCGGCGGCCGCACTAAAGGTCAGGTGACGTCAGAGGGCAGGACGGACCGTGCCTAGCACTGTGGTACGTTAAAGTTTCGCCACCAAATTCAGCCGTCCAAATACGGAACTGGAATTGAGGGATCTAAAGGTAAAGACAATGGCTCACACAATAAGCAATGCTTGCTTTGATCCCAAAAATCAATCCATTTACAAGGTACGAGTCAATTTTTTTTTAAAAATTCACTCCTCGACAGCTGATAATTAATTAAAATGTGGCTAGCAACACATGTTTGTCTGCACTCCACGTAAAAGCCACCTTGAGCTTCTTCAGGGGTTTGCGATACGGACCAGCCTCACGCAATCTCCGTCCACCGACTTCGTCCTTTGATGGGTTTATTTTGAAGCCGCGGAGACCGCTGGGATGATTTGTTGATCAATGTTTTGGCGTGGTTCACCTCCTGGCTAGATAACAAATCAGGGTGTGCCCCCCGCAGAAACCGCTGTTATGTGAAGTTATGTCATTACATATAAGGTCCAAGCTGCATAAAACTGGATAAGTCTGCTTTTTTGGGTTTTCACGAATATGTTTTAGAGGTGCAGCACAGGGTCATGTTTTCATTTAAATTCAAGGATTGGGTGATGTTCGCTTTTTTAATAAGTCCTGTTAAGTTGAATCCATTAGATGTACCTGCACATCGTTTGTGTTTGCATGTGGTTTGTAATCTCTGTGATTTGTGGTTTAATTGACAAATTGTGGGCAAAATCCAGTAATACAGTTCGGCAAAACATGCCCGAGAGGGGCTAAGCAGGGCTAAATGGCTACACTTGTCTTGTGGGTGGCTGTAACTGGGGCTGGAGCCCACTTATTGAATAAGGAACTACACCCATGGCAGCATCCACCACCTCCGTGGGAATGGCTCAGAATGGCTCCTGCTCTTGTGTCGAGATTGCATTCCCTGTTCAGCACGTATTGTTAAGTAATAGTACCTGACAGCAGTTTGAATGGTTACTAAGCTTTGGTCTGCTCTTAGACCTACGACATGTCATGAATTATAGTTTATGAAAGGACATGCATTTCATAACTGGTAAACTTGATACCGAAATGAAAACATTTGATATTTGTTCACTTGTAAAAAATATACTCTTTCTCTATCAGCATATCTTACCACCAATTGCTAACTAATTACGAACAAATTTGTGGTTAAGAAAATGCGACTGGGTGAATGTGAAAAAATTTGTGGTTAATAAAACACAGCCGGGTGAATATTATATGTGGAATACCCGCCAATAGCCGCAACGTAAGCAGCAATACACGCTTAAACCATAACAGACTTTTTAAGGCCGCATGCTGCAGACCTACTGGTCTAAGAGGAGCCCACAGGCACACTAACCCACCATGAGGTCGTCATCAGTTGTCATTTAAAGACTGTTTACGATGCGACTGCTACGTGTCGTGAATTCCTCCAAGAGATTAACAACTGCCGTGACTTCCGTCACAGCAACTGCTATTTCTCACAGCAGCGATTTCGTGAATACCATATGACTTTTCGCGACGCTTGCTCCCAAAGGCCCCTTTATCGACAACGCAAGCAGTGTTTTATTTGATTTGTGTGTGATTTAACATCGTTATTGAAATCCATTCGCACGAGTATTTGCACTGCGACTGTCCATTCAACGTTGCTGATGAATGCAAATGACCGCCAACGTGAACGCAAACATGCATTTTTACATATATAGTTGTTTGAATTTGCATCCATGCATTACTGTATTCTGGTGAATAGACATATATATATATATATATATATATATATATATATATACATATATACGTACATATGCATACAAAGCAGTACAAACTTGATGGCAACGACAACGGTCGCTATCATTTATGTAATTCGTCAACGTTTCGATAATTTGCGTGTCATCATTTCGACAATTGAGGACAAATACTCAAAAACATCATGTTGTCCTGTTTATGATGCTCGATGTAGCAAAACGTGGACGAATATACAAAAGATAGCGACTGCTGTTATTGCCATCAAGGTTTTACTTCCTCTTTTTGTATGTGTATGCATATTAACACACACACACACACACACACACACACACACACACACACACACACACACACACACACACACACACACACACACACACACACACACACACACACACACACACATGTTTATATATATATATATATATATATATATATATATATATATATATATATATATACATATATATATATATATATATATATATATATATATATATACATATATATAAAAAAGGACGTCTTCATGTACGGACGCATCCATCAACACACCTGTGCGTGCGCATTTATTGAGACGTGCCAGGCTGTTTGTACTGTGCTTTGATGGCGTGCGGCGACGTTGGCGGCGAGGTTTACCGGCCATAAATGTGTTTGCCGCCGCCAGTGCCCACAGCTCGCGTCTTGGGCGATGGCGAGATCTACGTGGACGTGGGCAGTACACTGAATCTCACCTGCACAGTATCGCACAGCCCTGAACCCATCGAGTTCATCTTCTGGTACCACGACCGGGCCGTAAGTGAGCGCCGCCGCGCGCCCGGGCTTCGAGAAGGGGGGGGGGGCAGAGTGTTGAGTTTCGATTTTCTTGATGTTTGGGGTGAAGATGGTATGTCATGTAAGCTTCCTTAGTTCAAGAGTCGCACCACAGTGCCTTTGGGCTTATTGGAATATGTCGGCAGGATGGATCATTACGTGCTGCCGTATCCGACGCGGAGAGTTTACACCATTGTGTCTTTTGGTATTTGCTCGTTTTTTTAATACTGACTTTGAAGCACCATTCTGTATGGCGTTGCTGTCTGGTTGGGAATGTGCAATTTAGCGAAGCAAGTAACGTATTCAATGCTGGATTTGTGGCAGTTGTAACGAAGGGCTGTCTGGGTGCTAAATATTGATATATCGTGGAAAACAGCTGGTATAGATCATGACGTTCCAACGTGGGATTTTGAAAACAGCGCGTGAAGGTACATAATCATTAGCGAGCTGGCTGCCTCAAGCGTGCTTTTATGCGACGCTGCGAGACGAATGGAATTAATCAGGAAAAAGATAAGCAGTAAAACGACATTTTCCAGGAATCGTCTCCGCGTGCCCACGGAATTTAAAACGGTTGAGCGTCATTGCTGACTAAAGTTCGATCGGATGCGGGCCATGACTTCAATTTCGGGGGATTATCTGTAAGCCAAGCGCGCGGATAAATTCGCATTTCAAAGGGCAAACGGACGAGGTGTGGCATACCAACCTCGCGGGCTTCAACAGGGCCAGTCGTGGAACGGAGCTAAATTCTGCAGGCCCTTTGGCAAAAGGCTTAAAAGAGCTCCGAGCCGCTGCGTTTATATCGGTTAGCCGGGGTTCATGATCGGGACGAGGGCACGTGCGGCACGTGCCGCCACGTGAGGGCATCTCTTCACAGACTGGACGGCCTGGGTTAGAGATATGCCAAACGCGCCACAAATGGATTTCCGGCTGTCTGACTACGCGTGGAAGTCATTACCTTGAGGAATGTTCAAGGCTGGCTGATGTAAGCCCTGATTATTCGAACGTCTCTCCTAATCGGTGTTGTTTTACAAACAGCGCCTCGTCTAGTTGTTTTCTGGCTATCGTCAGATGCTAACTGGTCTTGCGGAGGTCCTGAGGATGTTTGACATGTGGTCAGGCGCATACATGCCACAGCATTGGATTGCTTAACGGCAAGTGTTGATGACTGTACCATCCGATATTCAAATGCATCGTGCTGCAATGTCCAAAAATGTAAAAATAGTGAAATGCGCTGAGTGCATTTAAATATTTGACATCAGGGTGCATGGACGCAGAAATGTATAAAAGCATAAGGCCCGGAGAACTTGGGAAAATATGTGGACGGGTTATGAAGGAAGCTGTTAAACTCTTACACATTCACATGTACCAGCGTTCTCAATTTAAAGCCAGCTTGTTTAAAGAAAATTAAACTGAAGACGATCCGTATTCATCCATGGTCATTTTCTTCATAGATAGTGTTCCACCATCGCAAGCGACCAGGACATGACACATTATGATTAATCATAGCATATCGGGACGAACCAGTGGGCCAGATGCGCGATCAAGCACCGGAAGAAACAAAATTTTGAAAACGCATACGTTCAGCCCCATTGTGGTATAATGCACATGAAGTTCCTTGTCAAGAAAATTAGCATCACACTTCCACTCACTTCCCACTTTCGCTTCTTGAATATTCTGATACGTGGCTGTGCAAGCACGTGCGATCCAGCATCCAGTGACCTGTGATAAACGTTTTTTTTCGCTGTAAAGCCAGGAAAATATTCAAATTTGGGAGGCAAACCTTTGACATCTTTGTGCCTCCCGATCGCCGATTTCAGACTGAAATACATTACAATAAAGTATCAAATCCAAAGCGAAGCAGCCCAATATCAGCCGCATTTAAGCCCAGGAAATAAGAATGTCTCCTCCAGTGAGGGTATCATTCATGGATTTCTACGTGCACTCAGCTTGGCTGTGTAAATTGAACGCCCCATATCAAAGCGAATTTCACATAATATGCGCCGATGTATATCACCTTGCTGTTCTATGAATATGATATCGGCGTCACCTTACCCGTGATGTGTCGCTCATAGGCGCGAACTGACCAAGTTGGTCGAAGTGCCTCTTAACACGCGCTCGGGTGGGGGATCAAATTGCCTCCCCCAACCCAAAGGTTTTCCGGAATTATTTCCGAACAGCGCGGCGTAGCCGCGCCAAATTTTGCATAGATGTAGACAATTGAATAGCAGATGGCTTGACATAACAAATTTAGATGTACCTTGTATGGCAGGTCAAATTTAGGCCATGGTTTCAGCGAAGGTAATGTCTAGGAAATCGTCCAATCTGATGCAATGACGGAATGTTTGACGAAGTCATACATCTATGAGATGCTTTTTTAGGCACCGCAAATATTAAATGAGCAAATGACGTTGACCTGAGGTCAGGTACGAAGGCCAGACCGAGGTCAAAGCCAACCTTATTTATTTTTCTAGAGCTTGCTGTATGGGATAGTTTGTGGTTTCTTATTCCAAATTTATTGACAGCAGGAACTGCACTATACACCTTCTATTGACTTCTTAGAGGTCAGAACAAGCTATTGACCTAAGATGATCGGGGTCAACATTTTGTTTTAGGAACATACTGCCGTAATCATATCGTACTGCCGAACATATCGTAATCTTTGTCGCTTATTCAAATGCAAAACTCAGAGCAATCTTGTATGATTCTGCTCGCCATGACCTTCAAGAGGTCAAACTAGGTCACTGACCTAAAATAGGTTTGTGACCTTTTGCTTAGAAGCAACTGCCTAGGTTCTGGGGAACTTTAAAGACCAACATGGCATTTGATTTTGTTTGACCTATTTTGACCTTAAGGTCATGATCTAGGAAGCTCAAACTTTGACCTAAGTGAGTTCATGTACAGGTCAAGACATTTGGTAAATTTGGTGTCCCTAGCTTTTTTAGTTCCCGAGATCTTAGGGGGGTCAAATTGACCCCTCACCCGGGCGACGGGCATCTAGCCGGCCACCCGGGCGCGTGTTAAACCAACTATCCGTGATGCACCGTTCATCAGTCAACCATTTACGCAGAGTTTGCACTTCCTCCATCACCTCGCTATTCGCAGCGTCCCCACCACCGTCCAGGGAGACTGTCTCCAGCGACCGCCTGCTGTCCATTCCAGGTGATCGACTACAACACGCCGGCGGGGCGAGTCACGGTCACGATGGAGCGCGCGAGCACCACCGACTCGCACCTGACCATCCGGGGCGCCCGCTCGGAGGACTCCGGCATCTACACCTGCAGCCCCTCCAACGCCGACCCTGCCAGTGTCAAGGTGCACGTGCTGAAAGGTACTGCGGCTCTGGGCGGGCCGGCTCGGCACGGGATGGGTCGGGCTTCAGTGCTGAGGAGAACTGAGGAGTGAGGAGTGCTCGTGAGTTGACATGGCGGGTTTGAGGCATTTAACCGTGTACTGGTACAGGTGGTCGCTGACGTTTTGAACGAGCGCGTGGTATTGGTGTTAAGCGGCGGGAGTTTGGGAGAAGAAACTAGTAGCATGAAGTGGTAGTGGCGTTTGTGTTACACAAAGAGGAATGCCATCAGCACGATATATTCAAAATTTGCGTCATGGTTTCCGTTATGTCACACAAAACGAATTCACGCATTGCGTGTCGTTTGTTTTTTCGCGCATTTTTTCTCTTGAACTTATGTATGGTTCATCACCCATGTTTTGTGCTTGGGGGAATGCTACAACAATGAGTCATCTGAGCTTCGAGAAAGGAAAGAATCCCTGAAGCTTTGAAAGGCCTATTCCTACTCAAACTAGCGTTATCTGCCAGCGCGTCGTACCCAGACTCTATGTTCGTTTCAGGGGAAAAGCCCGCTGCGATGCAAACCAACCGCTGCCCGAGCCTGGCCGCCTCGCTGGCTCTGCTGCTGCTCCAGATCGTCGGCGGGTTCCTCCTCTGAGAGAGGACGGCACCCTCGCCCGTCTCCGACGCGTGGGTAGAGGCTGTGTGGGCCAGCGGGGGCGGCCACGGCCGCGGCGGGGCGGCGGCGGCGGCCCGCTGCCAAACGCCGTCTGGGCGGGGCCTGCGCCAGTGGGGAAAACTGGTGGTCTCATGGGTGGCGGCGGACTCCGCGAGGACGGCCTTTCTGCAGACGATATGTGGAGGACGAACGGAAGCGCGCGTACCTGCGGACTACGACGAGGAACGGCGGAGAGGATTCTTGGTGAGGAGGCCTCTGATGGGAAGACTCATAATGAGGACACCCGACGAGTGGACTCGCGGTGAGAGCCCATTCATTGTGAGGGGTAGCTGCTCTAGTCATACGATGACTCTTCGGACACTGGCCACAGTCGCTGAGCGCTGCGGCATTTCACCAGTGTTTCACGCACCGAAAGTGCACGGTGAATATGCTTCCCGTGCGCCCGAAATGTGTGGCTTCTTCTGGTCGATGTTCAAGGTGGATGCGAGGGTGACTATTACTGCAGTGTAGCTGACGAGGTGGGACGTGCCGCAGGAGGGTGTCGACAAATAATCGCGATAATGCTCATTTTACGGTGAATCATTCGGCCCGCAGGTGTTGCTCCTTTTTAAGTTATTGCTGTTACCGCATCCGGTTATGACTGAGTGCATAATTTCACTGTCATGGACTATATGTGCATGCCATTGGTGCGTATATAGCATAAGATAATCCACATCTGTAAAGTATCATTGACATGTCGCCACGGCAGGGCTTCAGCTGTTTCCTGCTTTTAATTTTGACGCTTTGTTCGGAGCATAAGGGCCTCTGGATTGTCGGACTGGCTGCCACCTGGAGCTTTACAACGTTGCTCCTGGCCCTAAAGCGCAGCTAGCTCATTGGAGAGCGTACGGCAGTTGTATTCCGTTTGGGGTCGTCTGGGCTGCCGACATCGAGGACCGAATCGGAGCACTCCAACAGCATGGCACATCCAATCAGCGCGTCGCACGCGCCGTGCCAGGCGATTTCGGAAGTTACGGCCGTTCTGGCCGTATATCCAAACCGATGTTTTGAACATGTGTGGATGTATGAAATCAAAATATAACTCACTGTCGGGCCGGCGTATGCGGAGCGCATAATCGGGGTCGAATATTTAACAGCATGGCCTCTCAAAGCGAATTTTAGCCACATGTTTGATACAGGCGAGTTCCTCCGACCAAACCATGGCCGGAATTACCACTGAATTTTCTGACTATTTTAAGATCTCCGCATGCCTATGGAATATTTTTACCCCAGTGTTATTTTGAGAGCTGCGCCCTGGGCGGATTGGTTCATTTAACCGATCCGTTTTGATAGGTCTTTATTCTTCGAAGGACACATGATCACCTCCCCTCGGGTTAACACCAATAACGTCACGCGTCAGCAAAAGTCCAGGAATATGCGCGTATTTTTAGCGTGCGTGCTTGTGACACGCCAGTTAAGGTATCTGGTTTGGGAAGCGTATAAGTGAAGCGCTACTTTAGGATAATACCATCATCAAGCTAGCCATCAACTATTTTCACCCCGATCTGGCCACGGATAGTGGTAGCCTTACTTCCACGACCAACCAGGGCCTGACATTCGTTTGGCATTGGCCCGGTAGCAAACTGCACAGACGAACAATGCAATTATTGCAAGGCGCGGTCTTGTTGGCTGCAATTTGACCTTTGTGCTGCCAATTCCGCTCAGCGTTGCACGAGGTAATGAATGTGTTTTTAAGCTGCCCCAAGCCTTCTTAGCACAAAGCAGTCATCCATTCCCGGCTAGTTATGGTCAGCCCCCCTCCCCTGCGGTGGGGACGAGGGGGGGGGGGGGTCTCAGCGGTGGCCGCCAGCGTCTCCATCGGAATGAATGGGCCGGCATCGCCTGGGGCCGTGCGCCGCCATTCATCAGACGTATCTACCAACAACAGACCGCGGCGGCCCTTAGAAGAATATATCCAGGACGGTCCGCGCCCGCGGCCGTCCGAGGGACGATCCCCGGAACGGACACCCGTCATCGCTCATGGCAGGGCTTGGAATAGTTTGTGGTGGTGCTTCCACGGAGTCCGTCTGACGCGAGCGGCGCGGTTTATTTCGATTGTGTTGTTGCAGTCGTGTGCGATAGCCGTAACCGCGGGAAGGGAGAAAGGTGCGAGAGCGTCTCTGGTTCTGAGTCATATTTTGAGTGCATAACGGGAGCTCCAAGCACAACATACCTTCACGCGCTTTCGAGTGAGTAGCACATTTGGAAGATTTCTTGCATTTTTGTAGACAAATGTGGATCACTAGTTTTAGAGACCCTCCATATTTGCCTACCTCACTTCGGCTCTGGCAAAGCCGTGAAAAGCTTTTGACACTGGATCACCCAATCCAAATTTGAATACCGTGTGATGTGCACAGCTTTTCAGTAGCACTTTGAGTGCCACTGGATATGCAAGCTCGCAGTGCCGGGTAGATCACGTCCAGCGGTACGTTCTCACGCTACATTCTGGAAGTATTACACACGTTTGTGCATCATACCAGAAACCAATTATAAATGATTTGTCTCGCTCAATATGTCATCCCACGAAGACAGATTACCCGCTTTGACATCCAAAAATGAAATGGAATGAAATAGGGGCGTGAAACACTGACAGAAAACTAAAATATGTTTTGTAAAAGTTAAAAAATAACAAAAATTTCCCTTATATCTTGTCAGAGAGATACCTTACATAAGGTATGCACTAGACCATTCAGTGTGATTGAAACGCAGCACAAACGTCTCGTATGTACTGCTCTGCATCACCATGTATGTGGCAGGTATTTTGATCGTAAGCCAAGCGACAAGTACGCTCTGATCGGACAATGTGTCCTAAGCTGTAAAACATTTCTTTTATTTCGTACGTTGTTCCGCGCATTGGCGAGGAACACTTTTCACGCAGATAAGCCAGTAGTGATAGCCTTATTCCTAGGAGGAAACCAGGAGAATGGATATATAGGTGAGTTGATATTTTGGCAACATGCCTTTATCGAAATAATAGCAGATGCCAAATCGAAAGCTCTCTGCTATTGTTTCGATAAAGGCATGTTGCCAAAATATCAACCCATCTATATCTGCATTCTCCTGGTTTTTTCTCTGAGTAATAAGGCTCTTATGTGAATGTAATAGGTACCACATGCGGCACAAAATTCAAGCTAGATTTCTCAGCCTTGTTTGATCCTAATCTTTAAGACCATGCTGGGATCATTGACTGCCTTGACCCATTAGCTGACCAAGGAGTTCGATTTATGCTCATCAGTTGGTTGCTGGAGCTGTACGACACGCTCAGCTGCTGAGGCTGTGTGACGTCGCCTGCCTTCGCACTGACGGGTACCGCGGAGAATCGAACCCCATACCTCCGGTCTTCCGAAAACCCAGTGAGACAGCTGAGTTACCAGCGCCCTGAGCTGCGGGTACCATTCGTCATGCTTGCCGACAGAGAGCGTGGTTCTGTTGACTATCTAGTGCGCTGTACAGTTTAGTTACAATGTGAAGGCAGAAGAGTTTGAGCTGTACTGTTGGATTGCTATTTGACAGCAGACATGGAGGTGTTCTAAGACAAGGCGACGCGTAGGACAGCGCTGTCTTTAGAAGTCACAGAATAAATACTTCCCGGGAACTTAAGCCAATGGTTCTCAGTAAAGCTATGAAATGGGTAAGGATCTTATCAGTTTGATTCTTCACCTGGGCAACGGATTTCTGTGCAAAATCCAAGCAAATTCCAAACGCCTGACTGTTCACCATTGGTCATAGTCCCCTTTCTTAGCCTTGATTTTTGCTATCCTTGATTTGCCAAGGAAGGAGCCAAATATTTTTTTATCAGCCGGCATTTCGAATTCTGGTACACAGTGGTATCAGCAGCTGCCATTATAAGATTAGCGTGCCTGATAGTCATTTGCGTATTTTGTGCCAGCCAAACTTTGACCAGCCCACCATTCATGTAGGTTACATGGGTCAGCCCAAAATCTGTGTTGGTCTAGGCTGATGTGTCAGGATTTAATAAATGTTGTGCGCGGCTGGTTTGCTCGGAAAATAAATTCGTTCTTTAAGCACAAAAGTCCACTTGCGATGTCACGAACAGATAACAGCCGAGGCAGAGCCCTAGAGGATCTTGTCGCGTATGATCGTTGCTGTGCTTAAGAGATGGGATGATGTATGTTAAAGGATAGCACACAAGGCAAACCAGTTTGCTATTCATAAAACACAAATGCTGGCAAGCAAACAGTATGCGTCGTATTCCAGAAGCTTCAAAAATGTCACATTGGATTTGTTCATTACACAGTACAATGGTGTATCGTAATATTTGTCAATTGCAGCTTGTTTTCAGCATAGCTCTTTGGTCCTGTAACGCCCCATGTTCACATCAGTTATGCATAGTCGGTTAGGTGGCCACACTCATGTGGTCGTTATTTCAAGTTGCCAGGCAGGATTATAATATAGATGTCTTAAAGGAACGCGATACATGTAGTCACAGTCCTTACATGAAGCCATAGGCCATAAGCCAAGCCATCGGCCACAACATATCGGCACTCAGGGGTCATGACGCAGCCGGGATTCGAACCCAGGTCCCACTCGGGAGTCAGACGCGTTTAGATATGATAAGTAAGGTGCGGACTTAACCGCGGGGAGGAGACACCCTAAATTTAGCAAATATACCGCAAGCCATCTATCTATTGCTATTTAACTGCCCCTTTACCCTTTTTAAGTCAGTTTGTGACTTATGAGGTCAAGCTAGGTTGTTCGGGTCACGTCTACCTTGCATTGCCATGTGACATAGGTATTAATGCTGCAATCATCGGATACATGGGATTTGAATTGGTTCCCCTATTTGAGTTGGTATAGCTCGAATTGCACGCATTTGACGTGTCACAGTTCAAGACCACGCTTGCTTATAACGTCCAATATTTCCTGTTATTTAATGACTGCTCACGGAACGACCACGCGAGAAATAACGTTCGGCACAATTTGGCTTTTTCAGCATTACTTGAGTGTTACAATGCACCGCAAAAACCACCATCATGCAGATTTTACGAGATAAGGACCAATTCTGAACAAGCACACCCAGGATGTGCTAGACACGCATTGCTAATGTAATGATTATTCGCGGTCCATGATGGGGAAATTTAGATGCTGCATGCGTGTACTATAACACGAGCTAATGGCCTCATTTGATCTCTGGAAGATTGGTGTCGCTCGCGTGCAAGTAGCCGTTATTGAATCTTGTTGAAAAATAAATCGTCACTAATCAATCACCTCTCCATATGACATTGTCCAAGAAATTCATCACAATTAGTTCCATGATGTCCGTCAAAATAGCGTTGAAATGGTGGAACGCAATAAGAACATTCTTGAAAGTGTAAGTGCCCTAACTCACGCATAAATGTAGAACTGAACATGTTTGACTTAGCTTAACCTCTGATGACCTGACCCCACCTTTTTGGCACAATCGGGCCTGACATCGCTGACATCGAAACACTTACGCATCACAGTCACTCGCAGACAAGCTGTATTGTCGATGTGATGAGAAACCTGGTTGGCATGGCATACATAAATCGGCCAATAGGGCATATAGTAGGGTCAATAGGGCAAAAGGGCACCTTTTAAAAAGAGTGGTTAAAAATTGGCAGGACATGCAAAATGTAATCAAGTCAGCTGCTGGAAAAGTATCAGCAAGATATTTTTGACCTCTACCTAATGTTTCAAGAACAATATTAAAGGGGTCTGACAGGTTATGCCTCCTCGCCGAGAGAGGATTGATTCAATGCGTTTGAAGTCAGTCATCAGTGTATGTCACTTTAAGTTGACAGCGAACTGCGCACCATTGTCATTTTCAACTGAGTGTTTGCGTCCAGACGGTGTGGGAGGCCTCTGGCTGAGACGTCAGAGATCGTCTTCGGATCGTAAGGCCTGTAATCGGCTCCAGCCTGGAGTAACTTTTGTCGTCCCGCTTACATCAAAGTGCGTTGACATAATTGACCTTGGCAGTTTCGCGTGTCGATTCATGATTCGATATCGAATCACGACATCA